GGGGCCGCGGGTTCGAGTCCCCGCCCCGGCTTCAGCCCTTTGCCCCGACCTTGAGCACTTGCTACGCGTTCTGGCTTCCTGCTTCAACCCTTGCCCGCCCATTTCAACTCCCAGGTTCAGCTTTCCCCCCTTGCCCGCCCATTTCAACTCCCAGGTTCAGCTTTCTCCCACCTTAACCCTTAAAATCCAGCCCCAACCCCCCTAGCTACCCCTCTCCTCAGCCCACAACCCCCGTCCCCACAGTGGCGCACGCGGACAAAGCCACACACACAGCCTGCACCTCCGAGAACCACATAGATTCATTATTTCTGCTCCGAGCCCGTCATCGTTAGCTTAATTTCATCTGTGTCCCCTTCCCTCCCCGTCCCGCCACACGCGGTCACACAAGGCCGGGCTGCCGGCCTGGTCACGCGCCCTAAGGTTCTTTAACAAAAACAAAAATTTACATGGCGTAATATTACATTCTCTTTTCCTAGGTTTCACTTTGTACATCAGAACACTGCGAGGGTTTTCTTAAAAAAAAAAAAAAGAAAAAAAAAGAAATAACAATAAAGGCAAAGGCACCTGAGGAGCGAATCACACATACACACACACATGCACACGTGGCGGAGAGGAGCCGGGAAGCGGCACCCCGGAGAGCTGAAGACACTGTTGCATTTGGTCCTTCGATATCCCTCTTTGTGGGATACGATTCCCCATTTCCTCCTGGGATGGCCCACTTTGACCCACTGGCACTAAAATCCGTCCCTGGCTTCCCCAAAATTCAGTCCTGCTGATAACCGTCCCCCTCCAGCTTTGTAGGGCAGTTTACAGGGAACATCTGCTCCTCACTGACACTGTTGCTTTTTTCCCACTGAAATAACTCTAAGTAACCTGAGCAGAGACTTTTTCCTTCCTTTTTTTTCCACTCGCTGCCCAAGGAAACGCTCCCGCCGCTTCCCCAGCAGCATGAAGGCCGATCGCTTCCGCACGGGAGAATTCGAGGATGTGCAAAACCACAGCCCCGACCCTGCTCTCCGCTTCCCCTCCCTTCCAAGCAACACTTTTCACTTTCATTGGAAAAATAAACCTGCGCTTGCCATCCTGGAGCTGCTGACACCCTGCTGAATGCTTATTTAACCCCTACGAAGCCGCCTGGAAACAGCTAGTGCGGCGAGGAAGGGGCACGTGGGGCTGTGCAATTAATTTGCCCCAAATGAGCAATATCACAGAATCCCAGAATCCCAGAATGGCTGAGGCTGGAAGGGACCTCTAGAGATCATCTAGTCCAACTCCCCTGCTCCAGCAGAGACACCCAGAGCACGGGGCACAGGGTGGCATCCAGGCGGGTTTGAAGATCTCCAGAGCAGGAGACTCCACAGCCTCTCTGGGCAGCCTGTGCCAGGGCTCTGACACCCTCACAGGAAAGAATCTCTTCCTCACATGGAGATGGAACTTCCTATGCTTTAACTTGCACCCGTTACCCCTTGTCCAGTCACCAGCTACCATGGAGAAGAACCTGGCCCCATCCTCCCTACACCGAATGATGCAACTTGCTTCCGGGGCCTGGCTTCCAGCTCAACTTACTCCCAGTTTCTTTGTGTCAGGTTCATGTTGACCAAGGAGGCTTCAAGCCCAGTCACATGTTGACCTTGGCTGGTTCCCCACTGTATAAACCAGGGCAACTTTCTGTCCGTGCTTGGAGCTGCCCTCAACTGAGGCATCTCCGAGGTCCCACGTTGGGGCTGGGTAGTTACGGAGCTCATCCCTGGGGCATCATCCTGGCCCATCTACGTTCCTCCCACAGCCCCATTCCTACAACTCAGCTACAACACCCAGGGCTGGGGTATCAGCGCTAGGATGATGAGTTGCCCCCCTCTAGCCCCAGCCAAAATCCTCATGGTTTCCACAGGGAAGAGGTGGAAGAAGCAGCTTGTGCTCAGCTCTGCGCGGCGCTGGCATCAACATCATTTAAGCATCATCACCCACCGCACACCGGAGGTCCTCAGGAACCGTCAGCAGCCGTACCCTGGGGAGACTCTCCTCGTCTCAAGAAGATCCCCTCCTTCAGACCGTTGCACACACTCACACACACATGCACGCACACGCACACAAAGTCAACTCGGCTGCTGCATATTGGCGCCCTGCTCCGTACGTAGGGCCGAGTCGAGCTTCACTCCTTGATTGTAACCGCTTAAGGCACAGAATAGTATTAAGTGCAGCCCCCCCGGAGATGCCGGCTGGTCGGCCAACCCCTCGCTCCCTCCAGGATGGTTCCCCTTCCCCTGCTTGACGGGAACGTCCCCCCGGCTCCACGGTCTGAGGATTATCTCCTCCAGTGTGGCTGATGCCCGCGTCATCCCCGAGCAACTCTCTCCTCCTCCGGTCCTGGGGATGCTGTCAGTGTCCCTGTGGTGCCGGAGGTGACATCCCATTGGCCTCACTTTCCCCCGGATGAGTATCACGGCAAACGGGGAAGCTCTCAGCACCCGTTGACAGCAGGGTGACTGGGTGTGAGACACATGGGGCAACAAGGGCACTCGCTGGCAGCCAATGGTGGCAGCACCTCCAGGCTCCGATGGCCCCGAGCGCGGCTTCAAAATCAACCACGCAGCGGCCACCGAGCTGATGATGAGGCAGAACGGGGCCGTGGGGCCACCGCGAGGAGCCGCGCAGGGCCGAGGTCTGCTGAGTCTGGGGCCGTGGGCCTGCTGGCCGCCCCCGTCCCCGCGGCCTCGGGGCTAGAGCCCACAGTTGACGAAGGGGTGTCGCAGCAGGTCCTCGGCCGTGGGCCGCCGCTTCTCCTCCACAAAGATCTGCCTGAGGAAGTTGCGGCAGGGGGGCGAGAGGGCC